TAAAAACACAATATAGTAAATAGCTATAAAAGTGATTTGTTCCAGAAAACCAAAAAGGGCTTTGGGTGAAAAGTAAGAACAAAACAAACCATACACTTTTAAATTTCCCAGTGAGACAAGAGACAAAAGATTAATCATTGACCTTCCTTAAAAAATAAAATTACTCAACAGGATATTCAAATCTATGTTTTGAAAATTCCATCTATAGTATGATAGCTTTAATGGAAAAAAAGGGGACGAAAACAAATACACTTCTATCTGTTCATTTCCGTAAAACAAACGTGGAGACCAAACTGCAACACAAATGAGTACCATAAACTCTCTGAAGGGGGCAGGAAAGAAAAAATTTGTTGAAGTTGAAAAATTGTTTTGAATGTACACTAAAAGTCTAAGAGCAAAAGGAGCCATCAAGAATATTTTCAACCTAGAAAATTTCTTTTTTTACAAGGATGTTGGTTAATGATTCTGAAACTACTTATGAATATTCTGGGATTGCACAAATGGGTAAATAACTGTGGATATACTGGAGAAAAAAGCTGCAAATGAGCAGAGGGAGAAAAAACCCCTGTGTGGCACTGGAACTGTCAGTATGCAGATCGACACAGAAACACACATCTGTGTGTAAGTGTGCATGGTGAAGTGCACTTATCCCTAGCTCTGTCTGCTAATATGTGTGGGAAGCGAGAAAGAGTTCCACAGTGCAAGCACAATGGAGGACCCAGGTCTCCAATAAAAGGAACCAGCTCTCCTTGGAGAAATGGCTGATTCCAGGGCCAGGGGAAGGAAATCTGAAGATGAGCTTAGAGCATTTTGTAGTGTCAGACAGTGAGGAAGCAAGGGAGTGTGGGGGTTCATGCAACATTCTCAGAAGCTGAGGCAGGAGAATCAAAATTTCAAGCCCAGTGTGGGCCATTTAGCAACCCCTTATATCAAAATAAAAAATAAAAGGGCTGGGGATGTACGTGTGTGAAGTCCTCTGGATTCAGACCTCAGTACCACAAAAAAAGAAAAGGAAAAAAGTAAGAAGTACAACAACAACAATCTCTCCCCTATTCAATAGGGACATGTTGACCTGAGAGCAACTAAGAGAAGGTTTTTTTTTTTTTTGTACCCAGGATCAAACTCGGGTCCTTGCACTTGCAAGGCAGGTGGCGGAACCACTGAGCTAAATCCCCAGCCTAGGAGGAGTTTCTAACAGGCACACCTCGGAAAATTTAAGAGAGGAAAAAAGTAATAAAAAGTAACTTACAGAAGAAAATAAATATCTATAGATGAATAACAATACTGAATAGATATATAGGGAGAAGGGACATATACAGAATTCCAGTTAACAAACGTGGAGGGGAAAACGGAAAAATGGAAATAAAAAAATTACTATCAGTCAAATTCCACAGTAATACCTGTTATATATCAAAATCACTTATGGGTGCTCGAATGAGTACAAACCAAGACATCTGCATAGTCTCCTGAGTTCCCTCCCAGATGCGATACTTAGTAATCACAAAGGAAAAACAGTAACTTTATAGAAGAGAAACAAGGCAGACTCCACCTTCACCAAGTGATCTAAGATACCACCACTAGTAATGCAACATCCACATCACAGAATTCCTGATAATGATGGACTGAGATGGACACGTGACTTACATAGTATTTTCCAAAAATATATAACCTCAATCTAATCATTTAGAGCATCAAACAAACCTAAATTGAGGAATATTTTACAAAATGGCCAGTTGTTTTCAAAATTCCCAGAGCCGTGAAAGATGAAGACTGAAGATCTATCATACATTAGAGGGGAAAAAAGAGACATGACAGCACATATGTAACCCCAGCACCCAGGAAGTCCTGCCTGGACAACTTATCGTTTCAAAAATAAAAAAGGGCTGGAGATGTAGCTTAGTTCGAAGGCCTGGGTTCAGGCAGCTAGCTGCAGATATATAGGTAGGTAGACGGATAAATAGACAGGACAACTAACTACAATGCTAGATCCTACATTATCTTTGACCAGAAAAGGACATTAGTGTGCTAACTGATTGAAATTCAACTAAGACGTGTGGAACAGTAATAGTATTGCACCAATGTTAATTTACTGATTTTGATAAATGTCCCGTGGCTTAGAGGTAAGATCTTAATATTACAGGAAGCTGGGTGAAGCATATAAGGGAACTTTCTGTAGTAGTTTTGCAACTTTTTCATAAATCTAAAAATTATTTCAAAACAATAAAAATATGACTATTGAAAACATTACCCCAAATGAGACTTAATTTAGCCTACTGCAAAGTCCATCTCTATAGTAGTATTGTCTATAAATGGAACAAGTTCTTCCCTTTAGTTGACTCTCCAGTTTAAAAACATAAATTACTGGGCAGGGGATTTAGCTCAATGGTACTGCGCCTGCCTGGCAAGCATAAGGCCTTGAGTTCAATTCCCAGTACCAAAAAATAATTAAAAGTTTTTTTTTTAATTACTGAGTCTGAGGAGTTCTATATTATAAGAAAATCTGTATATACATTTGAAAATTTTCATAATAAAAATTTTAAATACACAATATAGACAAGCTTTTTAAGTGGCTATTAATACAATAAAGATGATTTTCAATCATTCCTATAACTTTCACAAAGATTTAGAATCTTGTTATGGATTTTTGGTCAGGCCAGGACTACACAAAACAAATGGTCCACCCCTGCCTCACCACCTAAGGAGGTGAATGCCCAGAAGTGAGATAGAGCCAGTTCAGGCTGGAACCATGCCTGGAATTTTCTCTCTGGACTCCAGGCCTTAATCTATTTTTCCAACATACATCTGAGCTCTTCCTCATTTAATCTAAAACTTACCATGAATAACAATGATCTAAACACTTTAACATCACAGTTAAAATATTTATAACTGCTTGTGGTGGATTGACTAACATTCAACTTGTAACGCCCAGCTGAAGTGAATCAGCGTGGTCTCGGTGTGGAAGATCCACCTGAGGACTGTTACCAGCAGCCATAAGAGGAGAAAAGGAGGGGAAGACCGCGGCATGTCGATTTTCTAGGACAAGCTTGTTGGGATGGTTCTCCTGATGCGAACTACGCTGTCCTCCTAGGGGGAGGAGCTCGGGGCATCGCTGTCCCTGGGAATGGCGGCTGCTTTCGTCAGGGGGGCTCTGATCTTCACTGTGAGCAGCACTTCCTGGCTCCAGTGTGGATCCCTCAGCCTGGTGGCACAAATCCTTCATCTCACCGGCGTAGGTTTTCTGGCTTCCACCACCGGCCTTTGGGCCTTCCGGGTGCAGATCCTCGATACGGACAAGCAGGAGACATTACCGTGGGCTCTCGGCCACTGGCTGGACTGGTGGAGGACGCTGCCTTGGACTCTAAGCCTTTAGCTGGACTTGTGTGGGACGCTGCTGGGATCCAGCCCTCAGCTGGGTTCTTTGGGCCTCTAGTGTGCGGTTAATTTCTTGTACTCCTTTGCATGGACTTTTTGGGTAATTATCATAAAATAACCCTATAAATTATGTGTCCTGTGTTTAATATATTCCCTTGCCAAAACCCTGACAACAACATTTCTTCTAATAAAACTAATAATAAAAAACCCCACTAAATTTGAAGTAATCTGACTTGTGGGATGAAATGTGGATCCAATGTAGTACACATAACATTGAAAACAAGAAATTTAAACATTCTAGATAATGATCTTCAGTGAAATCTTTACATTAAGTAGGCCTTTTATAATAGTTCATGCTCTTATTTCATGGCTTAGGTTTTTTTCTTCTATTCAGGGTCTTGCTATGTTGCCTAGAGTGGTCTCAAATTCCTGAGCTCAGTGATCCTATCTCGGCCGCCTGATATACCTGGGACCATGGGTGTACACAATCATGCCTGGCTGTAATTTTTTTTGTTTTTTCTGAATGGAAGTATGTCTTTTTTCACAGTTCCTTCTTAAAGATTTCAGCTCAATTAATGGCACCTTTTAGACATTTATACTGCAAAACGCCTTTCCTTAATATGAATGTGTCAAGCACTATAGCTGATACAGTAAAAGGTGAAGAGAGATTTGGGTCCTCAGGCACTCACTGGATGAAAGGAAAGATGGGCAATGCTGATCGAAATATGAAGTGACAAGCAGTTTTCAAAGGAGAAAGGTTACCAGTCACCCCAGTCCTCAGAGGTGTCCTTACCCCCAGTTAACAAAACCCTTCAGGTTGCTCAATAATTGGCAAAGCAGGACTTGAACTTACATCTTCCAATTTAGAATACAATCAATCCCCCCCACCAGGGATGAACTCAGGACCTTGTGCTTGCGAGGCAGGTGTGGGCCACTAAGCTAAATCCCCGGCCTAAATCAACTTTGATCTAAATGATTAACTTTTATATCTGGATGACAGGAGGTGGGTTAGAGTCCTGAGGGGGATTACAATCTACCGCTGTTGAGTAACTATAAACTCAGACAACCTGTGCGACATCTCTGCGCTTACTTTCCTCACCTGAGGATAATCTTATCTCATAAAGTTACCATGAGAAATAAATAAATACAGAAGGCAACTTTAGGGTTAATCGTTGAGACCCCCAAGGAGTCCACACACTGAGAATTCCTTAATAAATGTGATTTTTTTTCATTCATTTTTGAGCGTGTAGAGGGTGGTAGGGTGTCTGGAACACATATGTTAAATTAATATTTACTAAATGAAGTCATTAAATGAATGCTGAATCTAAAACTATTCTTGCAATGTATTCAATATATTTATTCTTATTATCAGATTTTTTAAAAAAATTCCATTTCATCCACATAAATGAAACTCAGCTTTTCTTCCCAGTACTAGGACCTGGTGCTATTCGAGGCAGGCACAGTGCCACTGAACTAAATCCCCGGCCCATGAAACTCAACTTTTTTTGGGTTTGAGGGATTGAACTCGGGACCTTGCACTTGCAAGGCAGGCAACAGCACCACTGAGCTAAATCCCCCACCCTGAACTCAACTTTTAAGGGGTGGCTCCCTCTCACAGTAACACTCACTGTTTACTGTTGCTCCCTCATTTGGGTTGGAGTATCCCTCTCCTTTTCGTTTGATTCTCCGGATGATACCTGCATCTTCAAATAAATCCTCTCCTTTGAAATCGAGGAGCTCAATCTAGAAAAGAAAAAGAGATTTAAGTAGGAAAAGATCAAACAAAATCAATTTAACATACATAAAGGTAAAAGCAACTAATTCACCTTTCATTTTACAATACCAGTCTTTAAAAAAAAAATCTGTGTCTCTCAGTTATTAGGAAAGTAGAAGAAACACTGTGCTTTTCAATACTTGGAAAGAACTCTGTGTAATGATAATGTCTAGGACTACATCCTGTGGGGCTGCAGTGCAAAGACAGACAGGAAATACTAGGAAAACTGCCTTGTGGGAAAAATGCCAGAGCGACAAGGTGCTGGCACCAAACTATTTTGTCTGACTCCAAGGCCACTACTTTTCTCCCTCAGATTTATGAAGTTCCCTTCTTCAAATGTGAGAATAAATCCTAGGAATCTGGCCCACAACTGATTAAAAGTGTATTTTTGCCTCATTAGAAAATAGTTCTTAAAGTCATGTTTTGCCAAACATAGGTGATGAATTCAACACAGGACAAATAACATGTCACCACCACCCACTGCTTCTAAGGAGGAAGGGGAATCTATGACACTTACACGTCTTTATAAACGCTGGCAAGCCTTAAAAATACCTTATGATTTGGTAAGGCATATTCAACATTTATCTCCACCATTTCCATCCTGTCAATTTTGAGTATGTCATATTTACACTGCTGACCAGAGCTTTTATTTCTGGGTCCGGTGTCTTTTGTTTTTTGGGCTATGCCCTTTCTGTGCCAGGCACACATTTCTAAGAATGCACTGGCACACATCCCTTAGGTTGGTGGAAATGATTCAAGAAGCTGAGCTCCAAAATAAGTAAGTGTGAGTCTCAACAGCAAGCACAGCTCCCTGCTTGAAGGCGGCCCTGCAGCACAGCAGATTCAGACAAGGCAACACCACATGCACACTCGCCTCGAAAAACAGAGTTGCGTTAGCAGGAATTTTAGGGAGGCTGCCAGCCATGCCATATGCATATTCTGGTTTGCAGAGCAAATGGCAGATCTCCCCTTTCTTCATGGTGGCCACTCCAATGTCCCACGCCTTGATAACTTGGCCTAAGAGAAAGGAAAAGGTATGCGCCATATTTTTAAAAATTTGACTTTCACAAAACAAAACTTCCAAGTTATCATGCTTTGTACTCAACCAGAAATTAGGGATCATAAGACAATGTAACTCAGTAAAAGCTACACACAAAGAAATAAATCATGAGTTTTTGGAAGGCTATCAAGAGACAATTCCCTGCCAAGGAAGATGAAAGTAATTATCAACTCCTAAGCTATTGAAAAGTGGTGGTAACATAATCCACAAAATTTAGCTGTGTTGCAATTATTGCTTAATTGATCATTTCAACCATAATAACATGTATATTTTATAGGCAGAAGTGGAATAAAAATAGTATAGAAAATGGAGTTTGACCTAAGGAAGCATATAATTTAGTCTGGCAGGGGAAAAAATAACAAAAAAAAAGAAGCAACCATAAAAGTACATTGTATAAAAGGGTCTATGAAACAAATTCTCAAAATTTTCTACAAACAAAATGGCTGTGGTTGTGTGTCCTTCTGTTAAGTCACAAAGATTATAGAATTTTAATTTTTGCCAGTTCCTGGACACTCAGTCACTGCTGAGTAATAGAATTATATTAGGCTATAGAATTATGATCTCCATATTTATAGTTCTCATCATGTGCATTAACTGCTTCTTACTGTAAGGAGTTATAAAACTTTTCAGAAGCAAAGAAAAATCTAGGCAACTTAAGAGAATAAAATAACGCTCAAGGTGCTATGTCCCTCAAAAACTTAAGTATTCCACTAAATGGGATCAGATAAAAAATGAACCCCAGAGGAAATGAGTTCTGAAGTAAACTGTGATCTTGGATTAAGAGAAAGCTGGAGGCAGGACATTGGGACAGGGACCAGGAATCCTACACATAGCCTGTAAGCAAGAATGGATAAAAATGCTGTGACTTCAGTTTAGTCTTTGTTAAGTACTACAACTTTTTGAAATAACAGTTCCATTTCTTTTAGTTAAAATTTTCATAAGTAATAGATGCATAATATCAAAACAGAAAAGAGAACTACATAAAGTAAAAGCTCATCCATCCTACTGATTTTTAAAGATTTTACTTTTGTCTTTTTGAGACAGGTTTTCTCTATGCGGTTCAGGCTGGCCTTGAACTCACAGTGATTCTCCTGCCTCAGCCTCCCAAGTGCTGGGATTACAGTCATGCTGGCTCCATCTCTTTCTTTTAAAAAGCCACTACTGTTATTTCTTTTGTATCCTTTCAGTGTGTGCTGTCACTTTTTTTAAAAATTGAAAATAAATGTATAGCACACTATACATTCAATTCTGAACGGCCTTTTCATTAACATTCATCTGGCTCTCTTTCTCCATCATTACAAAGAAGGATATCCATGTTGGAGGTTAAAAGTGCTAGAATGAATACCAGCTTTGTACTTTAATAGCTTCGCGAATTTGTGTAAGTTATTTAACCTCTGTTTGCTCATCTATGCAATACAGATAACGACATCACCTGCCATACACTCTAGCTGTGAAGATTACTATGTAAATAAGTCAGGTGCACAGAACAGTGCCTGGTCTAAGTTTCATTTGTTTGCTTTTTTTTTTTGGTCTTGGTACCGGGGATCAAACTCAGGACCTTGTGCTTGTAAGGCAGGCAGTGGAACCACTGAGCTAAATCCCTGGCCCTTGTTTGCTATTTTAGAGACAGGGTTATGTTGCCCAGGGTAGCCTTCAACTCCTAAGATCAATCAAGCCATCTTCCTGCCTCAGCCGCCCAAGTAGCTGGAACTGCAGGTGTTTGCCACGATGCCCAGCTGTTTATGTAATAAAGGAAAAGCGCCTCCATCGTAATCGGAAACAGTTCCATCTCATTCTGCCTACTTCTGCAACCTCTTCTTCAGCCCAATGACAGTCCTCCAATAAGGATGTTACTACACACGGTTTACATGCCTGGGGAAATGCAAAGTCATACTCTTTCCCCTTTCCCCCACTCACTCTCTTCTCCCTTTGTTTTTTGCTGTACAGGGAACTGAACCCAGAGCCTTCAGAGTGAGCTGCTTCCCCAGCCCCCTCCTTTGTATTTTGGGACAGGATCTCACTAAGTTGCCTTGAACTTGTGACCCTCCTGCCTCAGCCTCCCAAAGTGCTGGGACTCAGGTATACACCCCTTGCAAAACTACTTCAATCTTAAATTTGCCTTTCCACAACGGCTACCTCGCCTATCTGCCCACCATATGGTTCTGCTGTGAAAACAGCTCAGTGGCTCTTGGAACAAATTCAGAGCCTGCTGTTGGAAGGCTGCTTTCCTATCATTGATGCTCCTCAAATACTGCTGTTTCAGTGTTACCCTGGGAGAACACACCCCTTTAAACATTGTACCTCTGACATATAAGGCAAATACTTTACATACTTCAGGAAATGTGCATTCTGGAAGAGGAGCTATTGTACATTGGGTTAATGGCTGGGAAGCAAAGGTCTGTTAGGTACTGCAAATATAAAGCCAGGCCAAGTCTTCCCCCAGAGAATATGTGGCAAAGGCCAGCTAGGGAGGATAACGATACCATACACGCACCGAGTTTGTTTTTATTTTTAAACAAAACATAGTAAGAACTACAACAGAGTACAAAACAAGGGACACAGAGAAGGGGTGATTAATTCTACCTAGAAGGGTAGAAGCAGTGTGCAAAAGCCTAATTCATGGTAGTATCTCTGCCAGCCTTAGAAGATGGAAGCACCAGCCTGTCAATTAAATCCAAATGAGCCCCAGGAGGTACAAATCATGCCCAGCCCTTTGATTTTCTTCTTTGGAACATTAAAGAACACTAGGAATATTAAAAGTTCTTTGACACCAAGTTTCAGAAACTGAATAAAACACCAAGTGAAAAGCCAGACTAATGATCACAAGCATGTATCTAAAACCACCAGTTTTTTTTTCTTCTTCTTGGTACTGGGGACTGAACTGAGGGCCTCTGCAGTGAGCTAAATCCCCAACACTTCAAAAAATGTTTAATTGCGAGGTAGGAACTCACTAAATTGTCCAGGCTGGTCTTGGATTTGTAATATTCCTGCCTCAGACTCCCAAAGTGCTAGGATTACAGGTGTGTGCCACCATGCCCAGCTATAAGCCAACTTTTCTTTTTTGGGGGGGTACCGGGGATCAAACTTGGGACCTTGCACTTGTGAGGCAGGCATTGGCACCACTGAGCTAAATACCGGGCCCCTAAGCCAAACTTTCTTAATGGGCATTTCCCCCTAATTTTAAAGAAATAAAACTCAGAACATCAGAAAAGCATAGACAATATACTGTATTAATAAAAAAACCTCTGAAAGCCTAGCTTCTGGAGAAACTACTGTCAATTGCTTGGTTCATTTCTTTTCAATTATATACGCACATTTTGTTTGTATATTAAAAAAAATTTTTTTACATGGTCTCATTGTGTAGTTTGGGCTGGCCTTGCACTCACTATATAGACCAGGCTGGCCTTGAACTCATGGCAATCTTCCTGCCTCAGCCTCCTGAGTACTGGGATTACAAGCATGCACCACCATGCCTGGCTCTACATGTGTGTTCTCAAAATTGGAGTCAGACTTTGGTTTTGTAGACTACTCTTAATGTTTTACATTATATGAGTTTTTTTCCTTGATAGTAGATAATTCTGAAAACACAACTTTTAGTAACTGTATGACTTCCTCTTTTGAATATATCGTAATTTTATTATTCCCATTAATAAACATTTATGTTATTTCTACTTTTACTATTATCAAACTCCAGAGAACAACCTGGCATCTAAATTTCTATTTGAGTTTCTTTGTGTAGTAAAAGTCTCACCTGACACAATCACGGCTGGTAGGTTAATTTAAAGTGGGCTATAAGAGGAATCAGAAAAACTGCATGCACATACATTATATAATATATTTATTTAGTTTTTGGTACCGGGGATCAAACTCGGGACCTTGTGCTTGCGAGGCAGGTGGTGGAACCACTGAGCCAAATCCCCGGCCCCATACATTGTATTCTTTAACTTAAAACACAGTATAATGGAGAGGCCAAGGCTTTGTCTGTGAGTGTGGCCCCGCTGGCATGAGTTCCATGCCGTCTATTCCACATAAAACACACTCACGACACATCATCTGCTATTTACTGTACAACACAAATTTCTTTAAAGCAGAGCAAAACCCAGAAGACACAAGTAAAGCAATCACTATTCAGAATCTTTTGGTACAAATATATTCTAAAAGGCCAGCTTATTTTGTCAATGTTTTACCCAATTAAAAATACTTTGCATTTTATCTTAATAAATCTTTCTAAACCACCCAACCCGGTTTTCATTGATAATTCATTCTTGTTACACTAATTCTAGTGTTTTATACAATGTCTAATGAAATTATATGATTGTGAAAAGTATAATGGATATACATAATTTCCAATGATTCTGAGTTGGAGGAAAACGCAGCCCCCGGATGTGGAAACGGCTTGGACACACAGGGCGAGGCCTCGGAGCTGTCTGAGATGCCTGGTGCTTGCAGCAAGGCCATGCTATCTCCTCCTCACACAACCTAACATCAGACAAGGTCACTCTGAGACCACAACAGAATGGAGACAAAACACCAAAATTCTGTCTAAACCTGGACAAAAAATAAGGTCACTGTGCACCCTACAGAACACCAGACACCCTTCCCTCGGCTAACACAAGAGGATGCTGCTTCTCTACCAGTCCAGGCTTTAGCTCATTCTTCTAATGGGACATCCTCTGGACTGAATGGCATCACCCTAATCCTAACAGTGTCCAAGCCATGGCAAAGCCCCACTTCCTTAAATTCCCCTGAATCACTTAACACATGCTCCAGTGCCATAAAGCAGAGCTTTCTACCATGCTTAGATGTGCCACTGTTCCCTAGGGAGGGAGGGACACAGCCTGCACAGCTGATGGCAGCAGACTGAGGACCACGGCACAGAACTCAGGATATCAGCAAACTGAATCAGCACCTCAGTCTGCAGATGGCTAAGCAGCTCCTACCACACTTCCTTAGGTTA